TATTTACTTTCCTGATCTTAGTGTAATAAATGTTTTATAATAATTAAATTACTAAAATTAATAACTTAATCAAATAATCGTCAAATAATTTAGTAAATTTTTATTTAGTACTTCCTGAATTTATAAAATTTCTTCAGAAATTACTGCTATTTTTATAATTTCTAGAATATTTGATAAAATTAATTGAATAGTATTCTAACTGTTTTGATGAAGTTTGTAATTTCAGAATTATAGATTCAATAAAAATATAAAATTATATATATGCATAAGTACATACATATATAAGGGTGTGGCAACTTAGTGTAGTTGGTAAATTGTTGCACCCCCAAGTGACAGGACAAGAGTTTGAATCCCACTAGCAACGAAATTCGAATTTGTGAAAATGCGTTACAGTAAACTGTATGACATATCAATCAGATAAGCACCTGTGACTTTGGTCTCACCAACTTGTATTTGGAGGTTGTGGAATGTAGTGTGACGCATAAGTTACATGAACCTCGAGTGAAGCAGCCAAATAAATCTAAGGGATCGGGGGATACGAAAGTCTACTTGCGAAGTCCCAAGTAGAGAGGTAGCACAGATCTTTGATGGCGCTACGTAAAGGATTATCATCTGGGGAGCCGGACATCATAGGCAAACTGAACGAAGACCGAGTGTTTGGCAAGCACTACACCAACCAGGCCACCAGATCAGCCAGAGGAAAAAGGATTCATTCGGAATACCAGGGGATGCCCACTGGTCCTTCCGGGCCATCTGGATTGAAAGTTTGGAGTACTGACGGTTGGCATCGAAGTACTGTTGATAGTTCGTAAAGTGGGTGCTAGAGTTTGGGTGAACTTTGCAAGGACACAGAGTAGGTAATAGTAGCAGAGGTAAAAAGCCGCAAGTACTTGGCCACAGCCTAGGCGTAAGTTACCGAAAATCTAGATAATATATGTGTGGAACATAGACCATACTGGTAGGTTTACCACGATGATAAAGGACCCCCTATATAGGAGTATGTGTCCGTTTTAAAGTCCTAAGGGGCCTTAACGGCAGTTCCTCTTTGGGGAGAATATCCCGACGGCACTAAGTTGATCAGAAGGTTTAATTGGGTAGCTCAAGTAATAGTGGGTTACAGGTACGATATCTAGTGTAGTTCATATGGGTTACATATGCAAGACTGCTTAAATAGACAACCAAAAGTTGTATATATAGCTAGTATGTATCCTCATTAATGTAACAAAGTCAGAGGTAGCCCTGTGGCTGCCCTAGCATTCGATCTAAAGTTTAATAAAACGTGCCAGACCCCAAAGTGGTCACCTTAACATTAAAAAAAAAAAAATAATAAAATACAAATATCGAAATAAAAAATAATACTAAGATAAAATAATAAACTAATAAAATAAAACTGTTCTATAACAATATCTACATCTAATTTTTTATAAATAGACCTTCTTCTTTTTATAAAGAACTAGTTTTTACAAGTTTTTCTTTAACCAATTGCATATATTAATGCCAATAACAAATATTTTAGGTTCCTTCAACCTATTCTAGCTAGTTTAATAATTTAAATTTAATATTAGCAATTATAGAAAATAGGTAGTATAATGTTGAATACACTTGTTTATGTAAGTAATACAAACTTCTAAAAAGAAAATGACTAATTGAAATACATAAAATCTGACTATTTCAAATCAGTTTAACATGAATTCTGAATATGTATAAATGAAGAAAAAGTAAAAATACTCAAAAACTAGTATTTAAATTAACTTTGATATACTAATTAAAAATATTGAGAATGAAATTTTATATATAAAAAATAATAATTTATTGTTATAACCACTAATATTAATAACTTAACTCTAATTATACACTTAGTTTTTTTAACAAAATTTGATTGCCTTTTTTGATTTGTATTATTCATGCAAATAAGTAAACTCATATAATATCTTATTAGATGTCTTGCTAGTAGCACAAATGTAGTTTTAAAATCTTTAAATATAAAAATATTAATAAAGTTTCAACTTTGATATTTTTTTAAAAAAAACTTAATAATACTAATAATAATATTAAAAAATAAAATAAAACTCTTTTTATCAATCATTTATACAAAATTTAACTAAAAATTTGCTAGTTAAAAATCTTTAATAACTAATATTTTATTAAGACAACAACTTTTTAGTGATGATATCTGATTAAAAAATGCTACTTGACAGGTATATCTAGCAGATTACTTAGATAATTAACAGATATATCTGAGTATAAAATTCTATCTAATATACTTGGATAGTATAGAGGGCTTTAATTCTGATTGGACAATTATTAAATGTATCATTATATATATACTGCATAGATTATCTAACTTTAAACAAATTGTATACTATAAAAATAAATTGTAGAACAAAACTAAATACATATTCAGAAACTACACTTCTCATATTATATACAGTAAAAATAATTTTGAGAACAGAAAAGTAATTTGGAAGTTAGCTATGGGGTCATATAGGTTAAAGCAATTTAATAATTAGTGAACTAAATTACACTTTGGTTAATAAGTGTTATTATTTTTTTAGCTTATTAATTTACAAATAACAGTTTAAACAGTATTGCCAATAGTTTTTTTTTAATATTTTTTTTGAGAATAGATTATTCCATCAAGTTTTAAAGTTATAGCATATTAAATATAATAAAAAATGTATGATTATATATAATGTTTTTGTAGTTAATTTGAATTTTTATATGTACTGTTTATCAGTAATATACGTTTTGACTGTCCAAAGGCTTTTTTGGCACTATCTAACGTCCAAGTGTCCAAGTATTCACAAGTGTCCAAAGTATATCTAAGCTTTAATAATTAATAAATTTTTTAACAAATATATAATTATATTTTTTTTAGGTGCTGAACATATTTTACTTAGAAAATAATATAGGTTATCTTAATAAAATTTTGAGTTATTTTAATTTATTTAATTGTCCAAAATTGTCCAAAGTGTCCAAACTTACTGTTTACAACTGTCTCGTGACAATACTGCTGTTTATATTCTCTATAAGCATATATTTTACTTATTAATAATTAACAGTTTTATATTTAGGGAATTGCTATTTCCACCTCCCATTTTTGCTAATGCTACCCTTTAAAATTTAAAAAGTGCTCTGAAAATGATATTGTTATTAAGAAAACCTTCTTTTTGATCTTAATAAAGGTTGTTCATCAGATCTTTCTGGTTCTAATGATTATAAAATCATTAAAGTCAGACCAATAGTTTTTATTTAAAAGTAAATGAAAGTTAACTAACTTCAGATAGAGATGTGACTCATTGATCTGCAATCCGGATGATTCTTTCAAAATCTGTATTTTTGTGTAATAATTTAATTCTTATACAATTTGTTGATCATCTGTTGATCATCTGTTCAAACTGCTCAAATATGCAAATTGCAGATCATCCATCCAATCTAGAATTTGAAACTGGTTTTATAAAACTGGTTCTAAACTCTAAATTAATTTGTTCAAAATTTTGCAATATTGACATAATTCTACTTAAATAATATTCTATAAATAACTAACCTGGTATGCTTTACAATTCTATACTTATTTCAAATAAATAGCCTTTACTTTCGTTAATTTACTAAGAAGGTTTAATACTTCTATTTTAGTTTAGTTTCAATTGTCTTGAAAGAGTTTCTAATAGTGGTTTCAAACTGAGAATTAGATATCACATTATGGATAATTCAGTTAGTCAACAACAAAGAATAGAGGACTATTTGTATATAATATTCAATTAATTATTATGTTTTGTTTAGCTTTTTTTTTATAGTTCGATTTAGGGGTTAGTGTTTATAATAAAAAAGTTTAGGTGGAAATAATATTTAATAAATAAATAATATTAGTGAATCACTCAAGTATCAATTGCAACTTTTATTTGAATTGATTATAATAAATAAGTATCTTTATTTTACTAGATAATTGTATCAAGAATAATGTTTAATTAATCTTAATTTTCATATTCATTTGTCAACAAAAAGTTTATATAAATATATTTATATAGTTGTACTCTATTATAATCACTAGCTAATTACATTGGGATTAAGGTTTGAGAACATCATTAGAATCTTTTTCTATCTTCTGATTCGAACTCTTTATATAAATCTTTTTTAACTTTGATACCATACTAGTTATTCAAATTTACAAAATGCTTTTCTTTTTGATTCATTGTAGTGGCAAAAAAAAAATAGATTTTTCTTGTTTTAAATAATATGCTCTTGTATATAATAACAATTATACATATTTGAATACTAATCTTTTATTTTTAATTAACAACTCATCTTTATTTTTTGACCCAGTCTAAAAATTATACAGATAACTGCAAATTGCAGATCATTTGTTTAATCTGTTTAATCTACTTTTAATCTGTTGGTACCATGACTCAGAGAGCATATACTTTGTGACTATTTCTGTTTTTAGCTGTTAGCCTAAAAAGTAAAGTTATAAATTTATAATTATATACTGTAATATTACTAAAATAAGTAAAGTTTTATTAAAGGCTATATCAAAATGCATGAGAAAATTTGAATTTACATGAAATAGAATTATAAAAAACTAGTATGAGAATAATCAAATACTTCTCTATTAAAAGGTTTAGACTCTAATTACAGTAAGATTTTATTAAAGGCTGTATAGAATATATGAAAAATTTGAAGAAATTCGAATTCACACAAAATAAAATAAATAAGAATAATTAATAAATAAAAAAAGAAAAATTGGCTGCATACTTTTTTATTGAAAGTTCTAGACTATAATTATATAAAAATTTAAATTCTCTATTGAATTTGCAAAAAAAATAAATAAAATTCAATTAAAACACCTCAAATTTGGGTTATTTACAGCTTAAAAAGATTGTACTTTACCATTATATATCTTAAAGTTTTAAGCTCGTTATATATTCCTTGTTACCTTTTTTTAAAATATTTTAAATAGTTTTATTTTGTTCTTATTTTTATCTATAGCGCTGTTTAATAAGATGTCTTTTCACCATAAAGATAATATTGAAGTATCATCTAATAATGAAGTATCTAGCCAACATAAAAAACTAAACATAATAATACACATAGAGGAAATGCTGTTAAAAGTTGGATCTGGTTGTATTTTGACGCAATATATAAGAAAGATATAAGATTTGCTGTTTGTAAAGTTGAAAAAGTTAAGGGAGTAAAATGTGGTACAAAATACAAAGTTGGTACATCCACTAGTAATTGCTCTGCCCATCTTAATAATATTTATGGTATAACTGAAAACAAATTAATATTAAATTGATTTTTTCTAATATACCTCATAATGAATTATGACAACTTGAATTGTGTCAATATCTTGTGGATTGGATTGTAAGCGATTTTCAACCATTTACAGTTCTTCAAAATAAAGCTTTTAGAAAATTTATAATAGAATTAGATTCTAAATTTTAAATTCCAAATGCTAAATATATTAAAAAACTTATTTATTATACATATAATTATTCTTACCCATTAATAATTGAAAAGTTAAAAAAAGAAGCTACATCAGTATCTTTAACATGTGATTTTTGGACTGGAAGAAATAGACAAGGTTATTTAGTCATAACTTGTTTGTATTTAGATAAAAATTTTTAATTTCGTAAAATTATACTTTCTATAGAATTTATTCGTTATCTACATACTTCTGAAACTATTGAAGATAGCATACTTTCATTATTAGATGAATTAGAACTACGTGATAAGGTATTTATGATAATTACAGATAATGAACAAAATATACAAAAAGCTATAAAAGAACTAAAATACTTAGCAGAAAATATAACTTGGCAATCATGTATAGCACATACTTTGCAATTGATAATTGGGAAAGGACTAAAACCTGTTGAGATTTTAGTAGGTCGAACAAAATGTTTTATTGATTTTTTTTTAGACCCAAATAGTCTGAACAGTTGCAAGATATTTAAAAGCGTTATTTGAATCCAAATGAGGTTTATGAATTTTTATATTTCTAATTGTTTATTTTGATTTTTTTATTTATTTACATTTTGTTTATTTTATTGTATTTATTAAAGAATCGCTTCTTATATGTTTATTTTTATTTAATCTTAATATTAAGAATTTATTTAGTATTTACTGGTAGTGAAATTCATAATATCTTTTTAATTATTATTATATACTATTATCACACTACCTTTAATATCTATCTTTTTTTAAATAATACTCGAATATATTAGACCAGACTAATTTAATTCGGTGGTTTACATTACCCTCCCCCTTTTCTGCTTTCTCACTTACTATATGTGCAAAAAATTTCAGAAAACTTTTATAATATTGACTTCCTTCAGCTTTACTCTCCCCCTTTTGCAAGAAGAATATAATGTAAACTACCAAATAAAAATCTTAAGATTCAGATATTAAAATTTAATAGATTTAATTAACTGTATAACACTCTTGATTAAGTACTTATTTATTATGCTTTTTTAAATTACTGTCATCAGCAAATTTCATATATCACACTGAGAATCAGAAATTTGAAAATAATGCTAGTATATAATTGGTTAAAAATTATTTGATTAACTTTTTAGCCAATCATGTACTGGTATTCTTTTTAGATTTCTGATTCCCAATATAATACATAAAATTTACTAATCACAGTAATTTGAAAAGCATGATAATATATTATTATATATAATTTTTATAAGACTCAGGTACTAAAAACAATGCAGTATAATAATTTAAAAGTTAAATTTAAACTTTAAAGTAAAGATTTAAAGAATTTTTTAGAATACTAAATATTTTTATTTAGTATACTAAATATTAATTAACAAAACTATTTTTGAAAATAACATACTTAGTGAATTTCATCTCCAGTAAGATTAAAATTATACTAAAATTATTATTTATTCAAATATTTTTAATTAGAATGCTGGTAAAATATCAACGTATTTAAGACATGTAATAGCCAATGTATTAACTTGCTGAAATTCTAGCTATTTGGCTTGGTGTAGGCTTTTAGACTTAAAAGAGTATATTTGCATACTTGAAGCTAATCTAGCTGAAAATAATAATCGAGATAACAGAAAAGATTCACAACAATTAACTAAGATTATGTTAACAAATGATAAATGAGATTTTCTTCGTGATCTGATTCCAGTTTTAGGTCCTTTTGAAGAAGCAACTAGATATCTTGGTAGTAGTAACTATGCTACTTATAGTATAATGAATTCTTTAATATCTGAAATTGTTAAGAGACTTAAACCTGCAACATTAACGAATAAAATAAATATTGAAAAAATCGATGATATTTTTGTAGCAATCGAAGAAGATACACAAAAAAAAGATTTAGATAACTCTATGCAAACATTAAATGCATTAGAAGGAGTAAAAGAAACACTATATCGTGCAATACTTTTTTATTTGAAAAGGGATAATGCATCATATTTACCTTCTATCCTTGATCCACATATTAAAAAAATAGAATTCGCATCAAATAAGATAAATGAGATTCAAGTATTATTGAAAAATAAATATCAAGAAATAAAAAGTAATCTAACAGTTAATTCAACTACAGTTTCAACAACTACAGCCTTATCACAAAATCTATCAAATACATTTTCTCCTAATTCTATATTAACTCCTTTTTATAAACCTACACTTTTCAGTATATTTAATAACCTACCAACTGTTAACTCACAGAGCGAACTTGATGAATATCTTACTATCTCACAAATACCTTTCGACTCTGATCTATTTTCTTTGTGAAAGGCTCATAAGGAAAGGTTTTCCATAATGAGTAAATTAGCATATAAATACCTTTCTGTTTTAGCTACATCAACATCATCAAAAAGGTTATTTTCAGACTGTGAAAATATTATGAGTCCTAAGAGAACTCACATGAACACAGAGCTTTTTAAAAGATTAGTATTTTTGAAAAGAAATTATGATGTTTTAGATAGTATTCATCCATCATCAACACAATAATGAAATAAAAAAATTATTGATTTTATTGTTCTGTTTTTTATGTAGAATAAATAATAATAAATAAAAATACTCAAACATTTCTTTATTTTCTATTATATGAGAGTATTATTCAATATTTTTGAATTAATACAATGTTATGATTTTCTTACTCTTTTATTTTTTTTCAGTTCAATAAATCTCTAACTATATGCATTTCTTTTCCTTTTTTGCAAAATTTGATAATATTATTACCTTCAATTTCATTTTTATAATAATATCTGGCATTAATTAATTCACTAATGTTCTCTATTTCTAATGATTTTTAATAATAAAGAATACCTTATATTTATCCTTTTCAACTCCAATACTTTCAAAATAAAAATAACAAACCATATTTATTCTTTTAGCATACTTTATATATGCTGATTTTTGATAACAAATAAACAACCTATATTCATCTTTCTTGACTCTAATTTCATTAAACTAAAACTTTATATTCAACTCCAATTCTGTTATTTCACTGATAAATTTTAAAAAATTCAATACATTGAATGGCAGTTGAATAATGCCATTCAATATGTCAAATTTTTTAAAATTTACTAGTGTTTATTCCTTTAACCAGCAGATTTGTGAAAATAAATAGATGCCACATGTCTATCTGTGTTAACAACAATTTCATAACAATAAAATATCCAATATTAATTAATCTGTTAATATTATTCATATTAGCAACTTTATGATAACATACAATGACTTTAAGCTAGTTTATTATTTTAATAACAATTTCAACATTGAATGTTTTTCCAGTATGATCCAAATTAGCCTTTTAAACATTTAAATACAATATTATGAAGCATTCTCAATAATAGTTGGTCTTAAATTATTATGACATTTTTTATTTGAAGCTATGTTTCAAATTCATGACTGTAAGATACAGATTTTTTATATAAAATTTTCCACATAATTATTCTAAATGAATAAATATCTAACACTGTTGTATATTGGTCTTTATCCAAGATTTTTGTTCTTGTTTAAATAATCCGTATTCACAGTGAAAAACTAATTTGAACTTGCATATATTTAATGAAGTTAAAATTGGAAAACCTCATAATAGATTAGCATGCTAGCATTAAAGCTATAAAATGTCGCTATCAAATTTTAATTTGTCAAACTGCAGATTGTAGATTATCTATTTTATCCATTCTAAATCTGCGAATCATTGATCATCTGTTCAATTCATTCAAAATCTGTATTATCTGTTCAATTCGTTCAAAATCTGTATCATCTGTTCATGAAATATGCAGATTGCAGATCAATCTATATGAATAAGAATTTGATCTTGTTATAATCTGGAAAATCCGAATTTGGACAAATCACATTACTAACTTCAGATATAAATATTTTAGGAACTACTGGTCCAAGTATAACAGTTTTATTATTATTAGAACCAGAAAGGCCTGATAAACAACTTTTATTAAGATTACAAAAAGATTTACTTAATAAGAATATCTATTTTCAGACCTCCAAGTGGTCACCTTAACATTAAAAAAAAAAAAAAATCTATTTCAAAACACTTTATGATATCTGAAAATGGCATTAGCAAAAATAGAGGGTAAAAATAGCAATTTTCTATATTTATTATATTATT